ATTTATATTTATTCATACTGCTTTCCCTTTCCTATTTTTTATATAGTACAACTAAACTACCGTACTTTTTCCGAGGTCAATGATTCCACATGCTTTCCCTTTTTTTTAAAAAAAAAGGTTCAAAGGGTAGAGAGAACATATTTCACCCCAAAAAATATCTCTACCACTTATAAATATTATTGTGTTGATGCACTGCTGTGAACTTATAAAATGCAGCGTCGCGGATAAAATCGGCACATTGTACTTTGTACTGAAAATTGGACAGATAAACGGACAACATTCGTCCAGACAGGAAACGATCGAGCAGGGCAGACGTTTTGAGCACATGAACAGCAATGGATTGGATCCTTTACGCATGACAACCCACTTCCTCGTGTGTTATTTTCATCATAATAAATCTTTTTGTATGAGATATTCTCCTGTCATTTTTAACATTTGAGTGCCAAGAGGGAATATTTAAAAAAATGTGTATACATGTTCGGGTCGAGAAGGTGACATGCTATCATCACACAAGAAGCAGGGGAATCAAATCCGTCGAAATTCAACATAAACATGCAATTTCAAGTACCATCAAAACCATGAGAACTTGGTAACAATTAATGGCACGTATCCAAAACGCGTCCCTTACGCTGCTCAAGCACTCTTACCATCTTCATTTCCCATATTAATATCATTAGCACGCAATCACAATACTTTCCCGTCTCATGATCAGAACATGCGTGTCTTCGTCACGTTTGTCTATCACCGTCTATCATATTAAATTGCCTTTTCATAATGTAGGCCTACTATCAGTCGCGAACCGATGCGCCTTTGGGCTTTTTAGAAGGTAAAATTACTAGTTGAGCTCAAACAAGATACTGGGGCGGATGCAGGATATAGCGGTAGGGGATGCGTGCAAGGGCGCACATCTGTTTTGAAATAGTATCTGTAGTTGGCCGGAAATGACACTGCATTTCGTGGAAATAGTACCTGTAGATGGCTGGAAATGAAACTTTTATATATACAGTAGTAAAATTCATCACCATTATACAGTCTAAATGAATGAATGATCTTTTATCTGTGATTTTTGGCAACCACAGAGATCTAATTAATGTGGGTAATGTACCACAAAAAATAAAACTAAAGAAACACTTTATTTGATGCATTTGATTTAGGCCTACTTGACCTACGTCAAACCCGTAAGGCCACATCCACCTCAGCCCCACCATGGCTGGGGCTGAGGTGAGAAAAGAAATAGTACCTCATGGCCTTAAATGATAGGCTACTTTTAAATAGTAAAGTTCATCACCGTCACATCACTGTAATATATAGTTAAAATGAAGCGCCAACAAATTCTCATGATATGCCTATTTTATTAGCTATTTTCGGTAACCACAGAGACCAATTAATAGGCCTATGTGTGAAAATGTGGGGAAATAGTACCTCTAGATTGCCGGATAGGACACTCTTATCATCATCGACTTAATTAATCGAAAAAATTAATAGAAAATAAAATTTAATTGTCTTTGATGTGTGTATTTTACTTTACCTACTTCATGTGCCGAAAACCAATCTTATCTTTGCAAGCTTTTTCTCATATTTCTCAAATTATAATAAAGGCACGCGCACTCGATTCGTGTATTATAGGTAACTCAGATGTTTGTGGGCAGACTAGATACTGGTATGTTGCTGTATAAAATAAGATGTACTCTGGCCGCACAGCGCTCTTTTCGTTAAAACCTGGGTCATTTAGCCTATGCAGTATATTTCAACAATTTTCAGGCATCTTCTTGACTTATGGAATTACATTGCGGACGAAAAGTGAAGGGACCAATCCCCCTTAAAACTATGTGTGGGGGGGTCCATCTCCCAATGATTTGCACCTATGGTTCATGAGAGTCCACACCACCGCCCCTGAGATGCGAATGATTTCTAATTCCATGTAGTTCGAAACAAGTTCTCCCTGCCATTTGCAACACGCTGCTACTGGACGATAACTTTAAGACCCAGTCCCCACCCCTCCACTCTTATGTTCCTCTTCGTCAACACTCGGTAACCTGGTCATGAATGCCTGTCTGGTGTCATGTTAGTATAAATCAATGCGCATCGGTTATTACATAATTATGTTTAATTTTTGTGTTTTCTATCTAGGCTATGTTATTGTAGAGTGTTGCTATCGCGGTTCACTGGTCTGCCTAATCAAGTTCTTAAGGCCTGTTTATAATTCAACGATAACGATAAATAAGCTAAAAAGCGATTGTTCATATAGAAAACAAAAGAAATAAGAGAAATTTTTACATTAGGACGATTCGATAACGATTTATCGTGTATACGATAACAAAATATTTTTAACAAATCAAATCAGATGACGTCATAATCATGAAAAAACGATAAAATCGTTGCTACTACTACGATTTTAATGTTTTCCCATGATAATGACCTCATCTGATTTGATTTGTCAAAATATGTTGTTATCGCATAACTGATCAATCGTTATCGAATCGTTCTAGTGTAAAAACTTCTCTTATTTCTTTTATTTTCTATATGAACAATTGCATTTTAATTTTTTTTTTATCGTTATCGTTATCGTTGAAGTATAAACAGGCCTTTATCCAGATATTCTTTGGCTACTGTCAATATTGTGTTTTGGGATGTCGGGGTTCTTTTGTGTCTCTGTGGTGTTTTTATTTTATAAACGGTTTCTATTGTCTAATCATGAGTACTGTATCTATAATTGTGCCTGTACTACGGGGCGCCGTTTGGGACATTGCTATTTATGTACTTAATTCTGTTGCTACAGAAATAATTATGTATCACAGAATTATTACTGACAAACTATTCTGTGTACAGAATTATTTTGTGTTTACAGAAATAATTATGTACACAGAATAGTTTAAAAGTAATAATTCTGTGGTACATAATTATTTCTGTTGTTACAGAAATAATAATGTACACAGAATAGTCTGTAAGTAATAATTCTGTGGTACATACTTTCTGTATTTCTGTAAACACAAAATTAATTCTGTACAAAGAATAGTTTGTCAGTAATAATTCTGTGATACATAATGATTTCTGTAGCAACAGAATGCCTATTTAAAGACATAAATAGCAATGTCCCAAACGGAGCCTCGTATGTACTGCACATACAGGTCTATTAAATCAACTATTACTGTGACATGTACTATATAGACTTCTATTCAACGGGTCCGTGTCAATGATCGTTACTTTATCATATTTTAATTTATTAGGTGTTAATTCTTCAGCGAGACCGATGATTCATGGTCGCACGGTCCCTGTTACTACTTTTATTGTACGAGGGAATTGGGTTGTAGATCTACTTTTCAATAATTAGGTCTACTTTTGTTTTTTTTCTTTGTCATCATTATTCTCGTTTCATAGTAATTATGCAATGAAGACTACGACTAATGACAATCAAAATGGAAAAGATGTTTTCCACCAATCGATGCACATATTATGACACATGCCATTGTAAATCATCATTCCATTATTCAATTCATAAAATTTAGGCCTATTAGGCCTAATACTTGCCTAATCTTTTTACTTTATGCATTTATCGTACATAAATTATATATATATATATATATATATATATATATGTATATATATATACATTTTAAGAGAACAATGAGGCTGATTGCTTACAAATTAAGAACAAAACAAGAAAAAATTGAATGATAAATGAAA